CTCAGACTGCATTGATAATGTTTCAACAATCAAGTAGGTTGGGTTGAATCTTCTGAATGAGCACATTTCTGCATTTAAAATCTCACAGTGATTGGACGTCATAATATCAAATCTTGGAGTTGTTGAATTGTATAACTGAAGGCCTTTCACACGTTCTTCTGTGTTTGTAATGAGATTAAACGTGCTATTCTTTGAATTTTTATTCTTCTCATAGAAATGACTCTTAAGCGATTCTTGGATTATCGGCAATTTCGTTTGGTCAGCTTCAAATATCAAGCAGAAGAAGCCTTGTTGCATTTCCTTTCGAGACTTCACTTTGGTGTATTTGGACAGGTTTCGCTCAACGTGCTTGGAGCAAACAAAATTGTCGATAGGAATATCACATTTGGTTTGCAATGCCTCCAGTGCCTTCTTGATGCCTTTATCTTGATCAGAAATCACTTGCAATGGAGGAATAGTCATTTCAGTAATGGATTCATCATGTAATCGCATAGATTCCCGTAACTGCTTCCAATGTGATCCATTATTCTTCTTGAAGAATGTGAACAAAAATGTAAACCAATCGAGTCCGCATTCTGCGTTCTTTGAAAGCATCACCCTTTGCGGTTAAAAGCGTGGCCAATAACATCTGCATTGTCGTATCAGATTTCATTGTTCTGTCTGTGAATCGAGCATAAACAGTTCCTGATAGCGCTCTTTTAACACCACCATTTACTGATTCCATAAATGATCCCATAGTCTCGGGAATCTCTTCCTCAACTGCGTGTGATACTTTTTCCGCTGTATTTGAGGTCATATTATTGATGATAAGAACACTGATTTTGTGTGCAAATTGCCTTTGATTGGAGAGCGTCTCTGGTGGATTGTTGCGACATTTTCTCTCTTGACTCTCCTCAAAATCTTGAAGCCACTCAAAGATTCCACTCGCAACATTTGCTATTGCACAATTTTTTATTTTTGCCATCAACAAGTAGTCTTTAGCGTATCCTTGTTTATCAATCTCCACTCCGTGTTTATTCAGTTTAAAATAGCCACCTTGTCTCAACTTCTGAAACACATTTTGGAGCAGGGACTCCTCTTGGCTTTTGACTTCAACAGGGCGTCTGCAAAAGGTTTTTTTGATCAACTTTGGAATCTCACAAAAATGTTTATCTTGCATATCAATAAGCGAACACTCAGTGTCAAAAGCAAGAATCTTGCCGCCACAGGATGAGCAGCGCGTAATGTAACGGTTATCGGGTCTTTTCTCTATTACTGTAAAGATGTGAAACTCCAGCAGACAGTAAATCTGAACAGCCTGTCGCAACATATGCAAAGATGTTAAATCCTCTTCCACGACGAAACTATCACCGTGTCTTCTTGCCCACGCTTCATTGAGAATCGAAATTGCAGTCTGCAGAAGAAATGTCTTTGTTGTGACACGAGACTCTGGCCTGATAGATGAGTCTCGATTGATGGAGAGCCACTTCATTGGTGCGAGTGAATGATCACCAGAGTATTCTTCATCTGTATCGTCATCAGAATCAGTCCCGTCCCGTGGTTCTTCTTCTTCGTCAACATCAACCGCGTCAACATCAACCGCGTCACTGAAAAGGAACTCTTTATATGTCTCACTTTGTGCTGCAATCCTTCTCATATCGCATAAGCCATTTGGTACGTCAAATCGGAACAGGTTTTGAAGTTCCTGAAGTTTATGGATACTTCCTTGTAAAAGTGTTTCGTATTCACTGAATGATGATGTGAAGTGTTTTAGTTTGTTCCTATTACTGGGCTCTGACAGAATTTTCTTGAGATTTGTCATTGCCTTACGCACACTCTGCGGTAATAGTTCACCAGCATCCAGGATTATTGACTGATCCATGATGAAACTGGCTGTAAAATTTCAGATGATTATTGCTTTGTTGACAGTAACACCCATAAAGAGATCCGTTTTGTTTGAAATGAAAGCCCGATGTGTTTGTTTACTTTTGGGGGTCCTCGTAAAAAGTGATACGCGAAAAGGAGGTCACACGCGGTGGTTGGGTAAATCTGAGATGACTTCAAACTGATTGATGCATTAGCCAATTGGGGTCAAAGTTGGGTAAACAATATGTCATAATCATTATCCAGGCTCATTCTATCAATGAATATGAAAAGTTATATATAAGACTTGAAAGCATATTCACATTTTTCAAAGTTTTTATACCTTTGATTCTGAAACAAAAATCTCTTTGCATACTCGTGCGTCAGTTTTATTGAATAATTCTCTTTATACGAAGACAAGAGACCATATAATACATCTTAAATACTTCAAATATATCTATTAATTATATCTTTGTAGAAATTACATAAAATGATTCAAAACTAGGAAATTTCTTGTACATGGAATTCTGTTCCATGTTGAACCTCTCCCTGGTGGTTATTTTCAGTGATGAGCCTGTTTTCTTTTGTTTCGAAGTGTCGCGAGCATAACACCATAAAGGGTTTATGACACGTTCTGTGCGGTGCAGAAATTATCCTATTGGAGGAGAGGTACTCAATTGGGACTCCATAAGCTGCTATTCAAGACTCTGTGTCTTAGATCTGTAAATCCCTCCAAGTGAGATTCACTCTCTAAGATTATTATAAGCTACCATGTGAGACCAATATACGGTAAGAAACTACAAAGTGCAGGAGGGACAAGAGATACACATGGAACATCATACATCAGGTCAAAGACAACTCGTGCATTGGAAATTCCTGATAGTAGTTTCATTTGTATGAAATGGTCGACGTGTCGAACAAATGTGAACTATTGAGGAACCATGAAATTGATTGAATGATACCCAGTAAGGGACGAGTGAGCGTGTGAAAATTGTGTCTTTCTCCCAGATTTTACCTCTTCCCAAGTATTAATACAATAATGTGAGAACTTCATGATTCAGTTGTGACCCGGATACTATATGTCCAATACAAGTTGATCTGTAGTGGCTTCGTTACGGTGAATGCGTTTTTGATCTTCGCTAACGCTCCAGTAAATCTCGAATCACCGCTATACCTTCGCGATTAATTTGTATTGGAGATATGATGTAATCTCTTGATAGCGTCGTGAGAGATTTCATTAAGAACAACAACTGCTGTGGTTTTGAGCATGACTATACTCGAATACACAGGGAAAAGCATTTGTAGTGGTTCAGATATGTGCAGACTAGGCTCCATGGCGTGTTTGTATATAGTTACTAAAGCAACTTAAAGAGTTCTGGCCTACTTTTAACAGTTGATGGGAATTGCAATATCTGACGAGAGGTGGTGTTACTCGTGACAGCCAAAACCTGATGGCAAATGGTCATTGAATGGCTCTATTACCTGGGAGACCATTATCCTTTGATGGCATTATTTGTCGTGATTAGGTATAAGATATACCAGCCTCATGACAACAACACTAATAAACAGCATAGAGTACACAACAAAGAAAATGACTACTACTTAGCTTTCAAGAACAATTATCGCTTTGCAGAATTGTAGCTAGCCCTATTTTCACATGGAGTGGTTCTTCTAAGAGAGGTTGCAGATAAGTTTTAACATACTGTGAAAGTATAGATTACCCCACTAGAGACTCAGTGCATGAGTTTCCCAACTTCTTTAGAGTTAGCTTCAAACGGGGACGAAAGGTCCCTTCAATAGGCCTTATTAAAAAACACATTTTA